TCTTAAGAAACACTTTGCAATGCGTTGTGGATTTTTAGTAAAATATCGTCACTAAACACTCATTTTTTAGGTCATTATATATAGCACGCTGGAATTGACAACACATGCAAGAGAGTGTTAGAAGTTAAAAAAACACAACGCATTGCAAAGGTCTTCTCAAGATTTCTCACTGAAGTGTTACACCAACCCAAATTATACCCAACGAAGCAAAATGCAACTTAGACAAATAGCCTCTCCAAAAAAAAAAAAAAACGTTTTAAAAGCCAAAACTCCCGACGTCAGGAGTCGGAAGGTCACAGGATTATGAAAAGTGCTGTAAGGTACGAATGACCAATAGTCTCTTTCACAGTTCCCTGCGCCATCTYGTAAGGTAGCCGTGACTTTGCCTCGAAGCGAGACGAACGGTGAGCTTGCAATGATAGAGACCTTTTTTAACACCTTGGACAATTATTCACATGTTTAATTCTCAATCATTGCAAGGTAGCCGTTCGTCTTGCTATGAGGCAAAGACACGGTTTGCATAAACTTTGACCATTTATATATATATACAGGTATATCGAAAGTATATCAGAAATTATGGAATGTCGTCCCTGATTTTTTTTCCAGAAAGCCCTAGTGATAGACAACCCGAAAACAATATCAGGGATCATATCCCATAATTTTTGATATACTTTTGATATACTTGTATATATGCACAAATGGTCAAAGTTTATGCAAACCGTATATATAAAAGAAATCTGTGAATCAATTTTCCGTAAAATAGTGCTCAATTCATCTATAGAAGTAGAGCAGAATATTTGTTTGAGAAGAAAAAGTCAAGACAACATTTTTCTCGACAAGCCTGTTTCGTGAATTGCTTCACTCTTCAGAGGATTTAATGAGAAGAATATTCGTTACTATCATGTATATAGAAAAGTAACGAATATTCCTCTCATTTAATCCCCTGAAGAGCGAAGCATTTCACAAAACAGGTTTGTATACCTTTAAAGATGGCGTAGGGAACTGTGAGAGGGCTGAGACAATTAGAAAGTGCATACGCGCTTGCCATTTTATCTTATAAATCCCGTGTCGGGATCGTCCCTATTAAATGAAAAAGCGAGATGTTTTCACCCATGGTATAAAGCCAACTATGACTTACCATACACAAAAATTGTAGTACATTGTTCTCTTTTTTCTTTCACTGCAATCAATTTGTAGTGGACTTCAAAACAGAACTTGCCATTGTTAAGTACCTTGTTGGCATAATGGATGGTTAAACTTACATTTTCAGCTCCAGAGATAGCGAATGACAAATTTATCTGATTTTGCGAATATTTCGCATGACTGTGTTCATTTGAGCTTTTTGATGCTAGCGTTGTAGTTATATCATGGCTTTTATAGTTTAGTATAGAATTATCGAACTTCTCCTTTA